GAAATAAATAATAACTTTATTATTGCCTCTAGGGCATATTTCCACGTTCATCATTTTAATTCCAAAGATAGCAAGTCCAAAAGTTCTAGGATAGTTTCGGCCAATAAGCCTTTGTAATGTGATCTACAAGATTGCTTCAAAGGTCTTAGCTAACAGGCTGAAAGTAATCCTCCTGAGATCATTTCCGAAGAGCAGTCGGCTTTTGTCCATGGACGCCTCATCACAGACAATTTCATCACAGCCTATGAATGCTTACACTACATGAAGACTAGGAGGGTGAAGGGGAACAGATATTGTGCTCTTAAATTGGATATGATGAAAGCATATGATCGCTTGGAGTGGTCGTATTTGAGAGCTGTAATGCTCAAGATGGGTTTTAGCCCCCGCTTCACTGAGACAGTCATGAGATGTGTGACGTCAGTATCCTTTTCAGTCCTGTTTAATGGAAGGAGTCTGGATGGTTTCAAGCCATCTCGGGGTTTGCGCCAGGGTGACCCGAGCTCACCATATTTGTTCTTGCTAGCTGCTAAAGGGCTTTCCTGTTTACTAAAAGCTGGTGCAGGAGTACGGGGGATCACAGTTTCTCCGAATGCACCGTCTGTTAATCATCTACTCTTTGCTGACGATAGTCTACTTTTCTTTGAAGCAAATGATGTTACTGCCACTCGGATTGATGAGCTACTGCGGATCTATTGCAATGCCTCCGGACAAAGGGTAAATATGGAGAAGTCTTCCATCTTTTTCAGTAAAGGAGTACCCAATTCTGTTCGCGAGTCCATCAAGAATATCCTAGCTGTACACAATGAATCATTGACAGAAAAATATCTGGGCTTGCCCTCGGATGTGGGGAGGGCAAAAGAAGGATCCTTTAAGTACTTGAAAGATAGAATTTGGAAGAAGGTGCAAGGGTGGATGGAGAAGTGTTTATCAGCCGGAGGGAAAGAGGTACCAATAAAATCTGTAGCTCAATCTATTCCAGCGTATTCTATGTCTTGTTTCAAGCTACCTCGGGGCTTGTGTGAGCATATCAATGGTATTATCCGTAAGTTTTGGTGGGGAAGCAAGGATGGCCAACGGAAAACAGCATGGGTTTCGTGGAAAACTATGTCAAAACCTAAGTTCATGGGGGGTTTGGGCTTCAGGGACGTGGAGTTGTTCAACCTCGCATTACTCGCGCGCCAAGCATGGAGGTTACTGCAGGATCCGGACTCGCTCAGTGCTCGCATTCTGAAAGCCAGGTATTACCCTGATTGACACCTCTTGGATGCCACGTTGGGTTCAGGTGCGTCCCAGGTATGGCCCTCCATAATAGAGGGAAAAGAAGTTCTAGCGCAAGGGCTCATCAAATGCATTGGCTCTGGGACAGATACGAGCATATGGCACGACAATTGGATGCCGAGGGATTACAAACTCAGACCAATATGCTCAAGGTCGACCAATCCTCCAGTTCTGGTCTCCGATCTGATTGACCCCACCACTAGGTCATGGAACAAGCAGATGCTCATGGAACACTTCATCGCTCCCGATGTTGAAGTCATTCAGAATATACCACTAAGTACTAGGGTGCAGGATGATTTCTGGGCCTGGCACTACAATAAGAAGGGTGTTTTTTCGGTTCGATCAGCCTACCGTATGATTTCTGCAGTCAAGGTTCAGAGGGAGGACTGGCTTGATCATCGGCCGGGACACTCAAACATTGCAGCCGATAGGAAATCTTGGTCGCAGCTGTGGAAAGTACGGGTTCCCTCCAGGATCAGAGTTTTTGTATGGAGACTAGCACATACTTCGATCCCGACGGGGCTCGTGAGACATGAGAGAAATATGGCAGATTCACCAGCATGCTCGATTTGCGGAGCATAGGAAGACACTTGGCGCCATTCACTGTTTAGCTGCTCCATGGCGCGATGCGTATGGGCTTTGGGAGATGAAGAGCTCCTCGAGCATGTGATATCAAACCAGAACCCTGATGCACGTCTATGGCTGTTTTGGCTGTTTGAATCAACAAGCCAACGTGATGTAACTCGGGTCCTCGTGACAATGTGGGCAATTTGGTGGGCGCGCCGAAAAGCAATCCATGAAGACGTGTTTCAGAGCCCGTTGTCAACCATGAGTTTCATTAGGCGCTTCTTGGAGGATTTGGATATTGTTGAGTCCCAAAAGGAGCGACCGATGCAGGTGCATGCTGCTCCGAGAGCACGGGCATGGCTGCCACCTGAGAGTGAAGCGGTGAAGTTTAATTGCGATGGTGCATTATCGACCCTGGGAGAGAAGGGAGCGGCGGCTGTGATTTGCCGAGACAAGTCAGGGAAGTTTCTTGGAGCATCAGCACTAGTCTTTGAAGGCTTGCTCGACCCGGCGAGTTTGGAGGCGCACGCGTGCAGTGAAGCACTTGCCCTTGCTCGTGATCTGAATGTGCAGGACCTGGTGATTGCGTCTGATTGTTTAGAGCTGATCTCAAATATCAGCACACAAGCACTACCAGTGTATGCGCCTATTCTACAGGATATACACATTAGCATGAACCTTTTCTCTTCAGTTATTTTTCGTTTTGAGCGCAGAGAAAACAATTTCGAGGCCCACTCGGTTGCAAAAGGAGCTGCGTCTCTGCCGGTGGGCCGCCACGTGTGACTAGGGATCCTTCCAGATATAGCTTGTATTCCGGATGTGATGAACTCTGAATAAAATTCCCTAGTTACCTTCAAAAAAAAAAGACCGAGGAAGAAATCGTGGGGGCAAGAGCAGATTATGAGAGGAGGCAGCAGCGCCGCTCGACGGCGCACGCCCGGCCCCGCAGCCGTCGGCTCGCCGGTGAACTCGTACACCGCCATTCGCCCGCCACCCACGCCGTGGTGGCAGCTCAACTTCCTTAAGAGCGGATTGATCGACGCTTCCGGTTTCCTTTCAACAGGTTGCTTTCGATTTCTCTAGCTCCTTTCCGATCTATTTCAATCTCATTTGCTGAACAAGTGGTGTGCGGATTAAATTCGAGGAATGCAAGTTAGGGTTTTAAGGCCAATTTCAGCAGACTAGCAGTAGCAGGGGCGATTCCTTTATTTCAATGTTAAACTCAATAAGTGATTCATTTATAGATTGATTTTGTGGTAAACTTTTATAGATTGATTTTGAGGAAGGTTGGTTGGTTTTTCTCAGGTTGACGTTTAAGGTTTGAGTTATGCTTTTGTGGTCGTTTTCTCCTAGTGTGGTTCATCCAATTTTGCAAAGTTAAGTTAATCTGCTTATATTCCTTGGCCCGGCAAGAAAATTACCTGCTCATTCTGTAGGGTGGTGATGGTAGTTCAAATGATGGTCATACAATTTGGTAGGTTTGTTTAACTGTTAGTGATAAAAAAATTCAGTGCCTTCTCTTCTTTATACACATGAATGTGCAGTTCAGCAACAATTTTATTTGCTGCCATAAGAACTGTTTAGCATTAAAAGTTAACAAATGACTTTATATCTCCCCAAATAGGTCGCAGAACCGCGTGTGGTTTGCCATTACAGGCTGAATTTGTCGACGGCCTATCTTTTGTCTAGCGCATTACAGGCATGTCCTCACTGAGAACTGAAATAGTGAACTGAAGGTTGTCGTTGCCGTGCGCCGCCATAGCATACATCTCACGCCGTGGCGAGCTACTTTGTGCCTACAAAATCAGCGCATGGTCTTTTTTTTTCCACTGAAAAGAATAAGAGAGGGGATTTGGTACCGTGCCCGGGGCATGGCACTCACCCAGATATCACCAATGGATGTACGTCGTGATGAGGCAAGTATCCACACCATCAATAGACGATACAGATACCGCATTCGAACCGTATGCAGACCAACTAAATATACACTTTAATTCAAGGACAGTTCTGAAAATGGTCATCAAGTTTAGACACTGTCAGTGCATCTGATGAAATGAGAGTTAATTAAGAAGTGTGAAGTGATTTAGGGCTCCTTTCGACACAAAGAAATTTCTGTAGACTGAAAACTGTAGTAGAACTTGGTCCAAGTCTTTCCTTGATTAGTACGCTATGCTCGGTCTGTTTATCAATTTCAGGCTAGTTGAATACTCCACTAGATTCAGATAAATTAAGTGTTAGCGGCAAAGAACCAAGAGTTGGTACTCAGTCAACTGTCAAGTCTGTTTGATGGAGAAAAAAAAATGTGGTGATGCTTCAGCAACAACGACCCGACAGGACAGTTGGTTCTCAGTCAAGTCTGTCTGATAGAAAGAAATACATGGTGATGGTCCATCAACAAAGATCTAAGAGTTAGACATATCTGTGTGGTGATGGCCAAGGTTTTGGATCCCAAGTGGACTTTTTTTCTCGTGGGGCACCGGAATTTGCGGTTACCACGGTAACCACGAAATACCGAAAAAAATTAGGACGAATTTAAAATAAAAAATGCGGGTGTGGGAGCACAGACTCGAACACACGACTCGCTGCTTAAAAACGGGCACCTTTGCCACTACGTCACGATAATGAGCGTTTGAATTCAAAAATTTCAAAATATTCGAGACATTTTGCTCGGTATGAGTGTTTCTCGAGGGGTGACGGCAAACGCGGTAACCGCGCGAAATCACGAAATTTCGTTCGGTTACCAAATCAGTGGTGATGGCTCGTCAACAATGGTCCATTAGGAATTAGTCAAGTCTATGTGATAAAACAACAAAAATTGCAACCATATACAAGGATGCCGTGCATGGAATCGATCCAATTTTAGTGAGTGGAGCACTGGCCTTTTCTATTGTAAAATATTTTACTATTGAGCAGGAAGGTTGAGTTAGCTAACCAGAAGAGACGTCAACTTATCTATTGAGGATAGCCCACTAGTCCCAAATTGATCCCTTATTTTTTAACCAGGAAGCGTGACTTTGATAACCAACAATGATTGAGAACCATGACTTTGCTAACCAGCAATGACCGAGGAGGCAGGGGCAGAGCATAAAAAGAGTTTGCAGAGACATCAACTGTTCAACTCATTCCCGAGGATACAAACCCTCCTAATCCCACAAATGGAGATTTTCGTTTCTGCTTTGATGGGTGAACTCATATCAAGATCCATGAGTTCCATCATCAACAAATACTCCAAGCCACCGGCGGAGGCCGTGGAGGCTGGCTTAGAGAGAATTCTACTCAGGGGGCAGGTCATCATCGACGAGGCCATGGGGCGGCACATCACAAACCATGGAATGCTCGGGCAGCTTAGCATGCTAAGGTATGCCATGTACCAAGGCTACTATGTGTTTGACACCTTCAGATGCCAACCATACCAAGAGGAGCAGAATAATTTGGCTGCGAGTCAATGTGGGGCGGTGTCTAAATTTCGTTATGCACAACGGCTCTGCGTCTCCAGCAGCAACAGCAAAAGAACATCACAAGGGCTTGAAGAGGCCCTCGACGGTTTGAGATCCATGATTCTTGATGCCAGCGAGATGGTCAGGTTCCTGACAACATATCCTCGCATGCATCGTCAGCCTTACAGCATGCATCTCTTGCTGGAGAAGTGCATGTTTGCCCGCCAGAGGGAGACAGAAGTGGTGATCAACTTCTTGCTGTGCACAGAAATACAATCTTGTACTAGTTGCTTTGATGTCCTCCCTATTGTTGGTCCAGACAGTGTTGGAAAGAGCACTCTTGTCGCTCATGTCTGTGAAGATGAAAGAGTACGTCACCATTTCTCACAGATTGTTTCTTTCAGGCATGATAATTTCATAATTCAAGATATAGCCTCTTTGGAAGGCAGATGTGCACCGAGACATGAGAATAAGGGGAGATTGCTGATTGTTGTCGACATAGTTGGGGATCTTGACGAAGATCTGTGGGAAATCATGTGCTCTATTTGCCGACAGAGCACTACAAGTGGTAGCAAAATCATCATCACAAGCCGATCTGACAAGATCACAAAGCTTGGAACAACACACACTTTAGTGCTGAAGCATCTGTCTCATGAGGCATTCTGGTATTTTTTCAAAGTGGTTACGTTTGGAAGCACGGATCCCAAGATGCACCCGAGGCTTGTCTGTTTGGCAATGGAGATAGCAGAATCTCTGAATGATAATCTTGTTGATGCAAACATGACCGCAAGTGTATTGAGAGCTAGTTTTAACATCAATTTCTGGTGCAAGGTTCTGGCATTCCGAAGAGGGTACATACAAAATCAGCTCTGTAAGTTTGGTGAGCATCCGCATGAACTTCTGAGTGAGAATAGACCTGTGTATTTTCAACCAATGGGCACAACTACTGAAGATATTCTTGTTCTTGGTACTAATCAGACATGCTCTTCCAAAGAGGAAGTTCCCAAGATAATGGCCATAGATGTTCTGTACGGAACCGCTAGGCCTCAAGGGGGAACATTTAAGGTCCTTGCATGGAAATCTCTGATACCACCCTACCATTGCTACATCCAAACTTATGAGATTCGAGAGCTGCAAGCTAGAGCGGTGAAGAGGAAGCGCCCTCTGATGAATGGTATTAGACGTGTTTAGTTTTGTTAATGTAAGTCTTGTAAACTCTTGTGTCACTAATTTTTGCTATGTTGTATTACTGAAAAAACAAGGTACGATATGGAGACATACATTTCCTTTCGTATGCCCGTTAACCAAGTTTGTCCGAAAATGTTGTACGGAACCATGGTTCGGCCGAACCTACGCTCGACACCATTAATTTCTAGACACTATTCATGAGGATCCATGCATGGTGAATTAAAAAATGCAGTTGACATGCATGTCTATTCATGAGGATCCATGCATGGTTGATTAAAAAATGCAGTTGGCATGCATTGTCACACATCCATATGTAGTAGGATGTTAAATCGTATGACATAGACCATAGGTTCGTTAATGATTGTATGATCCAGTGGTCTTTTTTCTTCCGCTTAAAAGAATAATTGTATGATCCAGTGGGTTTTCGTTTATTGATTTTTGGATTCTCATTATTAAGTCCTACTACTCTCACTTGGTAAGGTCACATTGCAATTAATTTGACAGTGTGCTCTGAAGAACCACAACTCATGGTTATACAGCGAAGTATGGCTAGATTATGTATGTGATGATCATCGACCCAAGTTACAAATGACATGGCCTCGTTGCCTTTCGCTATTATAAGAACTTTACACTGAATACATAACACTACGATGCCATCCTATGACGCTCATGAAAAAATGGCTGTGTGCATCATAATGATTCTCAAGTCTGAACCTCATTTTCGAATGAAAAGTTACCAATGATATTTAGTCATTCTGTGTCAGTTTTGATAAGGCCGCGGGGGTAAAACTCAAGATGGATGGTGGCTTCTCTATGAATGCCACAGTCAGCCAGGGTCCATGGATCCTGTAGGCATTTGCCACCGTACACTAACCCACAGTCAGCCATTGGCCTCCCCTTCATCTGGATCTTACTCCTCACGGCAGCAACCGTGTCGGAGCTTGCCATGTCAAGGGTGATGGTCTCGCCTGTGAAGATCTTGACAAAGATCTGCATCTTTTCCACCGATGGCGAACCTGTTCTTCTTTTCGAAGGTGGCAGCGGTTGTGCTTCCTGCTCAAACCTCTCCTTGAACGCATCTGACAGCACAGTCTCTGAATTGATCACCGCTCGTAGTAGCGCAACAGCCTGCAAGTGTTTGATCCACACAAGAAACTTATAAAACCTAAAGCCATCAACTGCCATGACTCATTTCTAAGAAGAAGAAAAATGAATGCCAAGGCATGTATATATAGATAACTTGCCTCTCGTTTGCTGACAGAGATGTCCATCTCCACTACATTATCCCGGTTTCTCTTGCACCAGTGCTTCAGCACCGACACGGCCGAAGCTTGATGTATACTAAGCTCGTCGGCTACCACATAGGTGTGATCGTCTACAAACACCGGATCGAACAAATGGCATGACCTCTTATCCTTTGCGGGGGAGCACTGCCGCTTCCCGGTCCGGCAGAGATGATACCACTCCGCAATTGCTTGATCCGACCAATTGGCGCCGTGCGTCTTCAACGGAGCAATATTAGGATCCAGCAGCGTGCTCTTGTCACCGAAGCAGGGTCCCGTCAGGAGCCAGACGTGTTGAGACCGTCGGCACTACTGTAAAGATTGTTGAAGCCGTGGAACCGGTGAGACGTGCCGGCCAGGTTCTTGAGGATGCACCCCATGGGGTAGGTCAGGAAACTGAGGAGCAGGTCCACGAAGTCATGCTTGCACTCAGCGTACATGACCTTTCTGTCCTCCTTGTCGAAGAAAAGCTTGATGCTCATCTGCGGATCGGGGGTTTGGTTGGTTTCTTGACGCCGAGGACTGTGAATTGTGAGCACTGATGTGCCCATCAAAGCATCGGTTCTTTTCGCGAGAAACACATCGGTGAATATGGTGGTGGACGAGACACATGCCTTGAGCAAGCAAACCACCTGAAATTTATAGCATCATAATATCAGTATGAATTCAGGCCAAAGAAATGTAGACATGTAGTTCACCTGACCTGGGTCCATCCGACGTCCACCTCCACCTCGTAGGCGTCTTTGATCCTGTCTCCGTAGAGACCCTGAAGAAAAGACAACACTGTCACTGGTAGAAAAAGAGGCTTCCGTCCAGCCCCATTAGTCGCGAAACTGTAGGAACCGCGACTAATGAAGTCTTTAGTCGCGGTTCGGCAGACGAACCGCGACCAAAGGCCTGGGCCCAGGGCGCTCGGTGGCCAGCTGGTGCACGTGAGGGGCTTTAGTCGCGGTTGGCCAGGCCAACCGCGACTAAAGGTGCGCAAAGGCCTTTAGTCGCGGTTGGCCTGGCCAACCGCGACTAAAGCTCCTCCCCTATATATACCAGTTCAGCACGCTCACTTAGCCATTTGGTGCCACTTCTCTTCACAAGCTTCACAAGGGGGTGTAGGTTTGCTTTTGGTTCCTCTTATGCACACAAGGTGTTTGATGAAATGCCCTAAGAGGGTGAAACAAACATGATATGAAGTGTTGGAGCCACACTTGAGGTTCCTCATTTATTTTTTCCTCCTCGATCGCGGTTAGCAACTTGAACCTTTCATGCATGTGTGTCATTGATAAAATATGCATGTGTGCAGTTCATTGTTTAATTTATATTGTTTGTAGCTAGTTAGTTTAACAAATGCATGATGGTTAATTATATATTTTATATTATAATAATGCAGATGAATCGGCAATGGATGTACGGTAACCGACTCTCCGGCGAGTTCACTATGGGTTTGAAAGATTTCCTCGTAGTGGCTAATGCGAACAAGCAGGGGGATTTTGTTATCTGTCCATGTGTTATCTGTAAGAATCAGAAGGGTTACTCTTCCTCAAGAGATGTTCACATGCATCTGCTTCGGCACGGTTTCATGCCAAGCTATAATTGTTGGACCAAGCATGGAGAAAGAGGGGTTATAATGGAAGAAGATGAAGAAGGAGATGATTTCATCGATGAAAGCTATCTTGCTCATTTCGGTGATACTTTCATGGAGGATGCTGAAGGTGAAGGGGAAGGTGAAGAAGAGGCACGTGATGATCCCGTTGATGATCTTGGTCGGACCATTGCTGATGCACGGAGACGCTGCGAAACTGAAAAGGAGAGGGAGAATTTGGATCGCATGTTAGAGGATCACAGAAAGGCGCTGTACCCCGGATGCGATGATGGTCTGAAAAAGCTGGGCTGCACACTGGATTTGCTGAAATGGAAGGCAGAGGCAGGTGTAGCTGACTCGGCATTTGAAAACTTGCTGAAAATGTTGAAGAATATGTTTCCAAAGGATAACGAGTTGCCCGCCAGTACGTACGAAGCAAAGAAGGTTGTCTGCCCTCTAGGTTTAGAGGTTCTGAAGATACATGCATGCATCAACGACTGCATCCTCTACCGCGGTGAATACGAGAATTTGAATGAATGCCCGGTATGCACTGCATTGCGTTATAAGATCAGAGGCGATGACCTTGGTGACGATGTTGAGGGCCAGAAACCCAGGAAGAGGGTTCCCGCCAAGGTGATGTGGTATGCTCCTATAATACCACGGTTGAAACGTCTGTTCAGGAACAAAGAGCATGCCAAGTTGTTGCGATGGCACAAAGAGGACCGTAAGTCGGACGGGGAGTTGAGACACACCGCAGATGGAACGCAATGGAGAAAGATCGACAGATGGTTCAAAGATTTTGCAGCTGACGCAAGGAACATAAGATTTGCTCTAAGTACGGATGGCATGAATCCTTTTGGCGAGCAGAGCTCCAGCCATAGCACCTGGCCCGTGACTCTATGCATCTACAACCTTCCTCCTTGGTTGTGCATGAAGCGGAAGTTCATTATGATGCCAGTGCTCATCCAAGGTCCGAAGCAACCCGGCAACGACATCGATGTGTACCTAAGGCCATTAGTTGATGAACTTTTACAGCCGTGGGGTGGTGTCCGTGTGTGGGATGAGCACAAACAAGAGGAATTTGACCTACGAGCGTTGCTTTTCGTAACCATCAACGATTGGCCTGCTCTTAGTAACCTTTCGGGACTGTCAAATAAGGGATACAATGCATGCACGCACTGCTTACATGAGACTGAAAGTGTACATTTGCCAAATTGTAAGAAGAACGTGTACCTTGGGCATCGTCGATTTCTTCCGAAAATTCATCCAGTAAGAAAGAAAGGCAAGCATTACAACGGCAAGGCAGATCACCGGCCGAAGCCTGCGGAACGCACTGGTGCTGAGGTATTTGATATGGTCAAGGATTTGAAAGTCATCTTTGGAAAGGGTCCTGGCGGACAATCAGTTCCGAAGGGAGCTGACGGGCACGCAGCCATGTGGAAGAAGAAATCTATATTCTGGGAGCTAGAATATTGGAAAGTCCTAGATGTCCGCTCTGCAATCGACGTGATGCACGTTACGAAGAATATTTGCGTGAACCTCCTAAGCTTCTTGGGCGTGTATGGGAAGACAAATGATACAAAGGAAGCACGGCAGGACCAGCAACGTTTGAAAGACCCTGATGACCGGCATCCGGACGAGCAATACGGAATGACAATGGTGGATTTCAACAATCTTGGTTACCTTGACGAACCATTCGTCCTTGCCAAAGATGTCGCTCAGGTTTTTTATTTGAAGGACATGAGTAGCAAACCGAGGAAACGGAAAGATAAGAAAACGATCAGTACATCATGCGATGATCCAAAGCGCCACATTGTTCTTTCAGGGAAAAGAAACATCGTGGGAGTGGAGGACAAGACAGACATGTCAGAAGATTATAATATGTTTGGTGAAATTCCGCCCTTCAAAGTGAACATTGACCCAAGCATTAAGTTAAATGATGAGGATGCTCCATGGATACGGCACAATCGTAAGCAAGCAGGGACACAAGGGAAGAATTGATGTGTAATAATTTATTGTACCAAACTTTGTATTTGGTCGATGAACTGAATGATGTATCAAACCTTTTGTCAAACCTTCAAGGGGTTTTAAAATGAATTAGTTTTATTTTTCTGATTTTTTTGATATATAATTGTATTTTTAAG